AAATATTATACTATTATGTAAGAAAAATATTGTATATTTATAAAAAATATATTAAAGGGAACACAACACTAATTAAAATAATAAGTGAATTTTTACATACCATTGGAAAAATGTAATTTTTTTTTCACAATTATTTTCTCTGTTCCACATTGGATATATGGATCACTGTAGACACGAGAATTTAAGATAAGTATAATTAGTAGATAATTATGAATATATTAATAAGATTAAGATAACTAATTAGTTTAATTAAAATTTAAAAAAATTAAATTAAAAAATTGAAAATGAGATTAAAATGTATAATTATTTTCAAAAAAGGAAAATGACATGGGATATGAGACAGACAGAAATGGCAATGCGGATATAATAAATGGGACGGAGGGAGTAAGCAAAAAAAAAAATAATCTCATTATTGGAGTTGGCACAAAAATATATGTATATATATATATTAAAGGTAAGAAAAATAAAAAAAATAGTTTGAAAATATTTTTAAAAATTTCATTAGTAATTAAAAGAAATAAAAAGGAAACATAATAATGGCAGTGACAATTATGATAAGTAAATATTTTATCTGTCCAATTTCTACCTTATGTGTTTCTCTTTTTGTTATAAATAGACAAATTTGCCCTTAAATGTATGATAGAGATTAAAAAATAATAAATGAATTAAGGGTAAAAATGTCAAATTTGTGTTTAAAAAAGAAAATAGGACAATAGTTGTTGGACGTTCCAAATAAAAAAGTAGGACATTAGTTTGTGAATGGAGAGAGTAATATTTAATATAGAGTAAAGTTCAATAATGACTTTTTTTTTTACTTTGCCAAAAATAGTTAAGACGTAAAGTTAAGGGTTTAGGAACAGAAAGAAATATATTTCAATTATATATTTTAATTTTTTATCATAAGATACTTATATGGAAAATAAAGTAAATATTCATAGAAAACTCATGTAGTAAAAAGAAAGAGAACAGGAAAAAAATAAATAGATACATTAATATAGGACTAAATTGTTATTGTTTCATATGTATTAATTAGGGAAAAAAATTATTTTTTGTTCCAATATAACCAAAATTTATCAATTTTGATTCCAATATAAAAATCTTATTAATTTTGGTCTCAATATAATCAAAACTCATCATTTTTTGTCCCAATATAACCAAAACTCATCATTTTTTTATTCTAATATAAAATTTTTATCAATTTTAGTACCAATATAACCAAAACTCATCATTTTTTGTCTCAATATAATCAAACATTATCTTTTTTGGTCCCACCGTCAACAAACCGACGGAAAATGCTACAAAATTGTGCAATTTCTTCAAATATAAATATAAGGTTTGATTTCTTTTCACGTCAGTATTTTCCGTCGATTTGTTGACGGCGTGAGACAATAAAAAATAAAATTTAATTATATTTGGAAAAAAATGATGAGTTTTGATTATATTTGGACTAAAATTGATAAAAAAATTTTATATTACCAAAATTGATGAGTTTTGGTTATATTGAGACAAAAAATGATGAATTTTGGTTATATTGGGACCAAAAATAATTTTTTCCCTGTTAATTAATATCCCGTTTTATACAGTGCTGTTTGCCTAACTTCTCATTTTTATAGTAGAGGTTGAATTAGGTCATACGTATATATTTTATTAAATGGCCGAATTAATTTAGTTTATTGGCTTAACATATTTCAATAAATTAAATGAAGCAATGATCAAATTAGGTCATGCATTTAAATGACCTACTTATTTAGTAAATTATGTGATTAAATATATTTCAGTAAAACTTAAACTAATTAAAGCAAATTGGTTCAGTGTGATGTTCATTTTATTCTTCTTCTTTCTTCTTTTTCTATTTGAATTTTTGTACATATATTTTAAAATAAATGTTATAAAATTTTAGGGTCGATTAACGAGCTTTTTTTACGAAATCGAACAAAACATAATGAAGACCAAATTATTAAAGGATTTCATTCAACAACTGACAATCCCCCCCGAAGGATTTGTAATTTTCGTGATTTTTCTTAATAATATTTAATTTTCGATGCTGGTTTTTATATTACAATAAATTTTGTGGTTAATCCATTGTAAAAACACATTACTAGCTAGTACATGTTCGACGGTATGTTTGATCGTATTTTTGTATTTCGTACAATGAACTATTATATCCCTCAAAAAAAATTATGTGAAAATTCACTTTTTATTCGATTTTCTATGTTTAAATTCTATTTAGATAAAGGATTTTTTATTTTTAAAAAATATTATTATTATTATAATAATTATTATTATTATTATTGTAATAGTTATATATAATTAATGTTCATTTGATATCTTAAATCCCCCTCCCCCAAAAATATATATACAGTTGTTTTGTTTTTTCAGTTTCGTTTCTTCCAAAATAATTGTCTTATTTTTTATTTAGTAATAGTAGTCCCCAATATACAATAAAATTATTTCTACTTTTTCAAAATTACCTTAACTGTTACTTTAAAATACTCACTATGTTGGCCTCTAAATGTCACATTTATATTTTGTGTCATTGTACTTAATATTAAAAAATATTATTTTATTTTTATAATATTTTATACAAATGTCATTCTATTAATATTATAAGATACTAGTTGATGTATTTTTGCAATTTCTTTTTTTAATTTGTACTACATTTTTTATATAATTAATATTCAAATATCAATACGCAATAATTTTTTTATTTCTTTGGAAAAAAAGAACGATTTAGTCATTTATATTATACTTTATACTTAATTTTAATTTAATATTATTATTTTTTAAATTTCATATCTATTTTTAATCAGATATCCCTTTTGAGACGGAGAGACTATATATGACGAAAAATAAACTAGGGGTACAATGTGTTTTAAATAATTGAGATTTAGTTTAAATAATATTTTAATGTATTATTTTACGAAAAAATAATAATAATATATTTTTAATAAAAATCATAACACATAAATAGTATAGAAAATGATTTAAAATAAAAGACAGTATATAATAATAATAATATTTAAAAACTATATTTTAATAGCATATAATAAAAATAATTTAAATAAGACCTACTATCTTTAATAAATATGTACAATGGCAAAACGCTCCAAAATTTCCTTTTTAAATATAAAATTATTTGATTTTAATTTTAAATTGAAAAGATATAAATCTTTTTAATATTTATTTTTTAATAAAAATATATTGTTTTTTCAAAAAATATATATTATGTCAAAATACTATTTTGAATTAAAATTCCAATTCAAACCAAAAGAAATGTACATATCATTGTTTTTTATTTAAAAATAAATAAATTTAAAAGAATACAAGATAATTTGGAAGTGTACATTAAATATTGCATTATTTTTACACATGTTGTTCCACTATTGCTAGAGATATTTTTAATTAATTAAATAAGAAAAGCATCTTAAAATGCATGTAATGTTGGGAGACCAAAAAATCAGAAAAATCTCTTTAATGAAATAAATAAATATTTAATTAACTATCCAATTAGTAACCAAGTTAAATCCGCCATTACGCACTCATATAACATAAAATATGATTTAATTAGTTTCATTTGGTCCGTACGCGTCTGTCATTCAGTGTTACGTCACCCACGCTCAACTGACACGTGCTTTCAACAATAATTTGAAAATATATATAATTATATATATATAATGTGAAAACTTTAATATAGAAAAATAAAAAATAAAAATAAATTGTTTTTTTAGTTCCGTAATTGGAGCCCTTGTCACTTTAGTCTTGTAAGTTGAGCATGTCGCAAACTAGTCCCATAAGTGAAAGATTTTCGCTGTTTTAGTCTTCCGGCGCTGGAGATGTCTGCGTGGCTCGCCAGAGGTAACGTGTCCGTCAGGTGTCGCTGACCTGGCGGACACGTGGATTTTTTAATTTTTTTTTTTCATTTTTTTTAAATTTTTTTAAAACTTATTAAAAAAATTTTTTTTCATTTTTTTTTTTGTATTTTTTTATTTTGTCTAATTAAAAAAAATTTTAAAAAAACAAAATAAATCCATGTGTCCGCCAGGTGTCGCTGACTTGGCGGGACACCTGACAGACATGTCACATCCGGCGAGCCGCGTGGGCGTCTCCGACACTGGAGGACTAAAACAGCGAAAATTTTTCACTTATGGGACTAGTTTGCGACAGACTCCATTTACGGGACTAAAATAATAAAAAGGTCCAGTTACTAGACTAAAAAAACAGTTTACCCAAAGAAAAAAAAAATAGAAAGTTTTAATCAGTAAATAATTAAAAATTTATCAATAAAAATAAATTTAAGTTTAAATTAAAATAATTAATTAATTTAATTAAAATTTAAATATTTAGAAAAAACTTACATTGTATAATTCTTTTTTTAAAAAAAAAATAATAAAATTAACAAATGAAGTTGTACAAATGAAAATAAAAGTGAACACAATAATACTCACATAATCAATTTTTGTTTATTTGGCATTGTTTATATATAAAAAATATAGCACATTAAATATAAACTTTTCTTATAAAAATTCAAATTAAATTAATTTTTTACATTTTTTATGTCCAAACGGAGCCATATATATTTCATATATGTATAATATTTTTAATAAAATTATAATTATAATCATATTATTTGTCCAATATTTAAATTTATTTTTTTTTTGAAAATAATCATACATTTTAATCCAATTTAAAATTTCATAATATATATTTTTAAATTTTTTAATACAATTTAATTATTTATTTATCTTAATGTTAATATATAATCATTTGTATTATATTATAATTATTTTCACTAATAAAATATTTAATTTCTTAATAATTATAATATTTCTTATATCTACAATAACCTCTACACTTATAAAAACGGAATAAATCATTTTAAAGAACCAATTATACTTCTAGAATATAATACCAAAATAAATCCAACACATGTCACTTTTTCATATATATATTGGTAGATTTGTATTGTCGTTATTAGTAATTAGGCAAAATGTTGTTTGGTGGTTATTGCAATAATATGAAAAGTATTATTAGTAAGATTGAGAAGAAGAGAGTGATTCATAGCTTCAAAGTTGGGTTATGTTTAGTTTTGGTGTCTCTTCTTTACACCGTCGATCCCATTTTCCGGCACGTCGGAGAAAATGCCATCTGGGCCATCATGACCGTCATCGTCGTCTTCGAATTTTACGCAGGTATATATAATATTGGTTGATTCCATAATATATATATATATATAATGATACGTTATTCTTTTAAATTTAAATTTTTAGGGAAAATAATTATTTAACATAACATAGCTAAAAAGAAACGACTGTTTTTTATGGTTATATATATTTATACATTGATGCAAAAAGTGAATGAAATATGATGAGTTTTATTTATAATGAATTTATTTTAATATAAATATACAAATATCTTATATATAGTTTATCCCATGCTATACTATTATGCTAATTAAATTATGCATGAAATTTGTATGTTTATACACAAAATTCTAAAAATACACTATTTTATTTCTATTTCTTTTTATTTTCTTTATTATAATTCTCTCCACCAGCATCTAACGGTAACATTTACATTTTGTGTCATTATATTTAATATTAAAAATATCTTTATATTTGTATACATATATATTTACAAATATCCTTCTATTAGTATTATAAGACACCAGAAAGTATTTTTGTAATTTTTTCTTAATTTTATACTATGTTTTGATAGAATAATAATATTTAAAGATTAATATGCAAAAAGTAAACGAGACTTTTAGAGCCATAAAATATTCTATGCATTAATTTTAATAGCTATTATTATTCATAAGCTCTCCCTTTATTTATTTGATGCGGCACATTGAGTGCTGTTCTTTTAGCATTTAATTCAACTTTTAAATTTTTATTTTTATTTTTTTAATTAAATAGTCGTTTGAATGTGATGCTTTTGAGAATATTTTTATTTTGTTTAGAGTAAAGTACCCATTTGTTAAGAAATAATATTTTTTTTATTAGTTAGTAAAAATATGTAAAGTAATATTAACATTTTTGTCTTTATAAGAACAAAAAATAAAAAAATAAAAAAGTAAATATTTTAATATTTATATATGAATTATTCTACTATAACAAGAAAATAACACATTTGAGTATGACAAATGAAAAAGATAAAAAAGAAAAGATATTTAGTTGAAATAAAGAGAATAATTTTATAGAACACTATGATGATTTTATGGTATACAAATTTAAACAGATTCCAAAAGAACAATCTTTTATTATTATTATTATTTTGAACTCGAACTTGTTTCGATGCATAGGTGCGACGCTAGGAAAAGGGATTAACCGAGGGATAGGGACGATGGTAGGAGGGGGGATAGGGTGTTTGGTGGCAATTCTAGTCGATAAAATCGGAGGAAATGGTAGCATGGGAAAACCTATAGCCATTGGGATTTCGGTTTTCATTTTTGGGCTCGGGGCAACATATTGTAGATTAGCGCCGAGTATGAAGAAAAGATACGACTACGGCTTTATGATTGCCATTTTGACGTTCAACTTGGTCGTGGTTCCCGATGCACAAGATGATTCCGGAAAAGTAGTTGAGGTGGCGCTCGATCGATTGGCGACCATTGGAATGGGCTTCGCCGTATGTATATTGGTTAGTTTGTTTGTTTTTCCTATGTGGGCTGGCGACGAACTCCATTGCTCTACTGCAACTAAGTTTCGAAAATTGGCTGATGCTATTCGAGGTAAGTTTTAAATGAGAAATAAGTAAAGAGGGTTGGCATTTTTATTTTTAAATTTTTATAATTGTATTTGAGTTTTTTATAAGATGTGATGATATTTATTTATTTGTTTTTTTAAATAACCCTATGGTTCCTTGGTTTTTTTTTACTTTATTTTTGTACTATTTTTATCAACATAGCTTTTTTTAAAAAAAAAAATAAAAAATATGTTAAATAAATAACTTTATTTTAAATATTCTGTATTAAAAGGATTCTATCAAATGTATGTATTTTCTATTCATTTTTTTTTTCAACTTTTTACTAATTTTAAATTAATTCAAAAGTTCAAAACACTTCTATTGGATGAAACATTTTCTCTAGAAGTTTTATACTCCCTCGTCCCTTAACAATCTATCTATTTTTTCGTCTGTCTCATAACATAATATTCATTTTTTTTTTTTTAGTAATTGTAATATCTACCTAACATTACAAATATCTTTTCAATTTCCAATATATTATACAAATGTCATTATCTTTATATCATACAATACTAATAGGATTAATTTAGTCTTTTTACCTTTATTTTTACTTTATCTCAATATAATATTAATATTTCTAGCAAACAGATATATAAATATGGAACAGACGAAATAAATGTTATTAAAACCACAATTGAACAAAGCTATTGGGGAATGTGTGTTATGTTACTATTTTTTGAGTGACACAAATTTTGATAAATAATATCTATAAAAATACAATATATATATATTTCATTTACTTATAAAAAATTAATAATTTTAAAAAATATATTTTTTTTTACTACTGGCATATACCTAACATAAAAAATACATATATCTAAAGATACATGTGTGTTTGGTTGGAGGATTTTGCTTCCAATTTTATTATCTACTAATTTATTTTTTAAAAAAAATTGTGAAATTAAATACCTAATTTTTATTTTTTAAATTATATTAAAAATTAATTTTATATTCAAAACACACGTGTATTGCATATTTATATCATATTATATAATTATTCAAATTAAATTATTTTACTATAAAAAAAACCAATCATATATTAATGGAATAAATGTGTGTAGGGTGTACGGACGAGTACATGAGAGTGGGAAATGAGAAGAACAAAAAAGAATCATCGAAATCATCAGATTACATGCAAGATTGCAACTTTCTCCTCAACTCAAAATCCTCTGATGATTCACTGGTAATTAATTAATTACTTATATTTCATTCTCTATTTAATTTATATACATAATCATTAATATCATCAATAAAATAAAATTAAATTAAATAATGTGACATGTCATACAATACAGGCAAATTTTGCAAAATGGGAACCAAATTGGCATGGCAAGTTTGGGAAATACTATCCTTTGGAAAAATACCTCCAAATTGGAGACCATCTAAGACACCTTGCTGCTATCATTCTTGCCTTAGACCATTGCCTCCATTCCCCTAAACAGGTATATATATATATACATATATATATAATATACATACAGTGACGATCTACATTGGGGCTTGGGGTTCAACCGACCCTCCAAGCCCTTTCTAATTTTTCTTTTTTTTAAGTGTAATTTTTTTAATTTTTTATTTAGTAATTAAATTTGCCCCATCAATTTGGGATTAATATTTCTATATAAACTTCCATATTATTATTATTATTATTATTTTAATTTATAAATTTATTATATAAAAAATAAAATATTTTATCGTAAATATTGTTTCCGTTCATTTTTTTCTTCTTCACAACCATATTATAGTGTTAATAAAAATTGAAAAAGTTAAGATAACATCAAGTTGGTAGAAATGAGTGACGAGAAAGTTTTTATATTATTTTTTGTACACACAGAAACAACCGAATGTCTATTTCAAATAAAAAACAGGCTCAAAATAGGTTGCAACTAAAAATAAATGGTAAAAAAAATGAAATAAATAAACATAACAATTTTGTCCCCTGGAGCCGCAAAGCTGATTCTGTCACTGTATACATATATATAACATTACATACATATCTATCTCTATATCGCTTAGGTTTCATACTGGTTGGTTCAAATCAACACTACAAATCAACAAGATCGATAGTACATATTTTATATATGTTCTAACAGCACGTGATATAGTTTTATAAAGCACAATAAAGATATATATATATATACATGCAACAAAGTATATACTTTCTCCGTCCGATTCTAAGGGTTCCATTTACCTTTTGCGTTATTGTACTTAATAATAAAAATATCCTTATATTTATATAATTTTTTATGCACAAATGTCATTATAATAATATTATAAGACACTAATAAAAGTATTTTTGTCATTTTTCCTACGTTTTCATATAATAATTAATATTCAAATATCAATACGCAAAAAGTAAATGAAACCCTTAGAATCGGACGAATGTAGTATATAAACTGCACACCATATATTTTTTTTTTATTTATATGATACAATATTGTATTATGCTATATATTTAAATGCACTGTCTACCTTATTGAATTGTACTAACGGGTCATAGTAATAATTTGACTTCCTAGGGACAAAATACAAATATTATACATGATATAATCATACACTGCACATGCTACTATTTATTTCAACGCAAAAAGTATATTTATACAGGACAAGTACAAATATGAAATAACACAACATATTTGTATTATATAAAAATATATATAGTCTATCTATGCTATATGTGTTTATATGTCCCAATCAGTACAGTAACTAGAGTCGGCAATGAGTCGATTGGTGTCGGGTTGAATACTTTAAACGGGTTAAATTATTTAACTCTAATCCGACCCGTTTATGATTGCGTCGGGTTTGTGTTGACCCGTTTATTATCGTGTCGGATTCGGGTTGACTCATGTTGGCCCGTTTATTATCGTGTCGGATTCGGGTTGACTCATGTTGACCCGTATACATAATTAAGTCGAAATTCTTGATTCAAATTAAATAATTTTTTTTTATGTTGTCGTGTTATGTTAGTTTTTATTTGTTTGAATGTAAATTAGGTTTGAATTATTTAAAATTGAACTTAGTTTAAATTAATTTATGAGAAAATTATTAAATTATGATTATTTTACATATATAATAAATATATTAATCAATATTAATATATTATAATCGGGTTGCCGTGTCGGGTTTGAGTTGAGAGCCTCAACCCTAACCCGACCCGTTTACTATAGTGTCAACTCGTATACATAATCGGATTGAAATCTTTAACCTAAACCCAATTATTTCGTGTCGGGTCAGTTTTTGCCAACTCTATCAATAACCACCCCGATATATATTCTTAATAACGACGACAATGATGGTGATGATTATTTGCAGGTAGTGGCAAAGCAAAGGAGGGAGACACTAAAAGAAACAAGTGAGAATTTCAGTATGTGCATTGGATTTATATTAAAAGAGTTTGGAGAAGGTTCGGAGAGAATGGACATGTCACAAATTAGCCCCCTTTTTATAAACCCTAAATTGCAATCCCTAAAAGTGCAAATTTCATCCACCCTTAACGATTATGGCAATCATGATCACCATCTTGCTACACTCAATTTCTTGTTCTTGGAGATTGTAGATTTGGTGGAAGAACTTGCCAAGTTCTTGCAAGAACTTGGCCAAGAATCACATTGCAAGAAAACCAATATTGATCATGTATAAAGACGCCATAATTATATACTTCCTCGGTCCTAGATCTATAGTTTGGGTTGTGTTTGTCACGAAATTTAAGGAATATTGATATTATATGGATAGTGGGTAAAAAAAATATAGGTAAAAGACTTTTTTGCCCTTGTGGGTGTATTAGAATAAAAAATAGTGGCAATGGTGTAATAATAATGAAAAAGTAAGGGTAATTTTATAGTGATATGGTTATTTATGAAAATGAGACTATTGTTTTGTAACGATAAAAATGATAAACAAGACTATTGTATTGAGACGGAGTAATTATTTATTGTATTTATTACAGTGTATTGGTTTTAGAGTGCATATGATTTATTTAGATTTTCAAAGTCTAAGGTATTTATATTCAGATGTTCAAAAGCCGATAAAAATAGAAGTTATTCATTACAAATTTTTAAAAAATTTTAAAGAAAGAAAGAAATAAGTCTATAGATATTCAAAGGCGTATAGATTTTAATACTACATTATTCATTTAAAAAATAAATAAATAAATCTATAGATATTCAAAGGTGTGTTAGATTTTAATACTACATTATACATTTTCTTTCATTTTTTTTTTTTTTCTAGATATATAAATAAATTTTACCTTCCAAAGTCTCTTTTAACGACCAAAGATTTCTGTGTATAGGTTGAAACATTATTTAGCTACAGCTGTATTTGCTCTTCTTATTATTATTATTATTATATTTTATCTAAAGTGTATGGATTGTCATTGTTTTTCTGTTGTATTTGCTCTTTTTTTTTCTTTTTTTTCTTTTTTTATTTTCTGAATGGTTTAATGACGTGAGAATTCACAATCGTTATCCACTTCGGTCATATCTAATATCCTGGAGAGATCGCATGGTCCCGAGTCCACTTTCACACAACCAAACCATTTTTTACTGGACAATAATTTAGAATTTTTTTTTTTAAATGACGTAGGAACTCACAATCGTTACCCAAAAGTACACACTGGGTAAACCCCAGGCCAAACCTAATACTCAGCAAATGAGGCCCGACCGAAAAATCAGGCTAGAATAATTTAGTTATTTTTATATCTATATATAAATGTCTTTTATATATATATATTTGTACCACTTGTTGTAGAATTTAGAATGTATTGAAATCCATGTTAGTCCTCTTTCATAACCCTATAAAAATATATAAATAAAAATTCATCTAAATTAAAAATAAAAGTCAAACTATAAAATTGAGTCTACGAATGTCTTAAACTAAAAAAAAAAAAAAAAAAAAAAAACAATAAGAATAATAATAAATAAAATCCAATTGACACTCTTTAATATGAGAATTATGTATTTAAATAAAATCGATTAAAAAACTATGATACCATTTTGTGAAGACGACAAGCGAATATAGCCATGGTGTGGAACCCAAATACCCATCAATCATCACCGTTGATGGATCCTGGACGAACGGTGTAGATTCATCCCTAAAGTACGGACGGAGCATTCAAGGAACTTACCAGTGCATTTATCGAAGCCTTACCCGCCGATTCGTATCGTCGTCTCCAGTTTCCTCAGCCGCCGCCGCCGCCGCCGCGCAATGGCTCCGCTCGATAGCACCGCCGTCCTCCGATCACCGGTTCTGATCCTCCTCGCCGGCTTTCTGCTCCACACCGCAACGTGCAAACCCAACACCGCCGTCAGCTCCGTGCTCTGCAATTCGGGAACGTACACGAAAGGCGACCCTTTCGCCGCCAGTCTCGCCGCCGTCCTCGCCGATCTGGAGTCCGTCGCGCCGTCGCGGCCAGGCTACGACTTCCGCAACATCTCGCCATATCCGAACGCCTTCGCCTACGGCCACGCCGCCTGTAACCGAAGCCTCAGCGCCTCCGACTGCGCCGCCTGCCTCGCCGCCGCCAAGACCGCCGTGATCGGCGGCTGCGACGCTCGGATCGGGGGGCGCGCCTTGTTAATCGATTGTAACGTCAGATACGAGCAGTACCCCTTCGACGATTGATTCGTCAATTCCACGATTGTCAATTTTAGGGTTTGTAATTTCCCCCAAATTCGTTGTGGTAGTACACTCCGCAGTAAAAATTGTACGTTCCATTCGGCTAGTACCCGCCGCAATAAAAGCTGTACGTTCTATTAACAATATTGTATCCTTAAATGACCGGATAAATTGATTTTTTTTTTTTTTTTTTTGTTATCCACACATTTTAGGTTGGTAATCGGAGTTCGTTGCAAACTAGTCTCATAAATAAAATTTTTAGTAATTTTAGTTCTCCGATCCGTCGAGTCAGCAACACTTGACGGATACGTAGATTTTTTTTTACTCATTTGTCTTATATAAAAAGTAACATTTGTTTTTTTTTTTACTTAATTTTTAATATTAGTACTTATATTGGATTACAGTAAAAAGATAAAGATTTTTATTAGTATCGTATAATATAAATATAATAATATATGTGTAATATATTGTAAACTGTAAATGTATTTATTTTGTTAAGTAAATAGTATAATTACTAAATTAAAAAATGATATCTCAGATTAACAAAAAATAGAAAATAGAACCATTCTTTATTGAACGGGGAAGTATTTTTTTAATTTTTAATTAAATTTTTTTTTAATTTTTTTGAAAAACAAAATTAATTAATTTTTTTTAAAAATATAAAAATAATCACGTGTTCTGACAGGCTATGCGGTGTCCATGCGGAATTAAAAAAATCAGTTTAATTCTAAATATCACAATAAAATTTCACAATTGGGCTGAATTGGGCCATTTGGGCCGTACGAAAATGGCCCAATTGAACCTCAAGCTGCGTCCGCCTTCCACCTCAAGATTGATTTTCAGTTCTGAACCGAAACCCTAATTAATCGATCGATCGAGTTTCCCGACGAAACCCTCAATTATGGCATACGTCAAGAAATTCCGCGGAATCCGGCGGCGGTTGCAGCGACCTCAGCCTCCGACATCATATACTCACGATTTCGTCCTCTATTCACCGACGACGTCAACTCTTCATCGGTATTTGAATCCATCTCTCCTGCGAATTTTTTACATTAATGCAAAATTGTGCGAAATGTCGATTCAATCACCCCTCCTCTTCTTCCTAATTCTGAATTCTTTTTCTTCAGCTTCTGCAGCCTTCTTAGCGCCTATTGCAAAAAGACATTCTCGACATCAGCGCTTCCTTCACCTCATTGAACTGCACGCAAACCTGCGTTCCCTGCAGTTCGTCCGGTTCCCGAACCGCCGGAGATTGCTCCGGCAACTCTTCTAATTCCTGCAGTTCGGTGAACCGGAAGCTACCGCCGGCTGTTCAACCCCCGGTCGGCTCGCTCTCTTTGCCGCGAACCGACGGCCGAAATCCGGCGAAGCTCGGGTTGATTCCCGTGTTTTTGTCCTCCTGCAGCCACCGGTCTATGGCCGGTTTAGGCCGGTCGAATTTGTCGGGTCAGGCGCAAGTCGGGAAAATCCCCTCGGAGACGACGGTTTTTGCGCTTTGCCTGTCCGGTTCGCCGTTGGCTCTCGGATTGGCGTTTTTCGGTTCGACGGGACCGTATTATTTCACTCCCGGAGTTGACCTCTCCCTGTCGGAAAGTATTCTATAGGTTTGACTGGGATAAAAGTCAACGGTAAATCCATAGATTTTGATCGGGCATTGCTGGCCGTTGATGAGAGGGGGAACAGTGGGGCCCACTAAGCACGGTTACAAAGTACACAAAATTACACACGTCAATTTTCACGGCGTTAACGGAGGCGTTTGTGAAGGAAGCGTTTGCGGTGAACTTAACGGTAACGGAGGCGGCGAAGCCGTTCGAGGTTTGCTACGGTGCGGACGATGTCAGAATGACGTCAGTAGGACCGGCGGTCCCGACCGTGGATTTAGTGTTGGGAGAGGATGGCGGTGTGTGGAGAATACATGGGGCGAATTCAATGGTCAGGATCTTTCTGATGGACGGTGTGGATTTGTTTTGTTTGGGGTTTTTGAACGGTGGGGCCCAGGCAAGATCGACGGGCGAGATTGGAGAGATTGATCTTGAGGCTAATAGAGTGGGGAAGTTTAATTTCACTACAAACTTGAGTGATTGATAAAATGGCTGAAAATGGGATTTTTTTATGGCGTTTGTAACCCGTTTTAATGCAATTGTCTTATTTATCATTTTTGTTCATTTCAAAATAATTTTATTTTCATAAATAATTATATCACCATAAAATTAGCTCTACTTTTTATTATTATTACACAATTGCCACTATTTTTTACACTAATATATTCACAAAGACAAAAAAGTTATTTATCTTTACATTTTACAAACTGCCAATATAATATCAATATTCCTTTGATCTTATACCCAACACAATAAGACTATACTTTTGGAACGGAGGGAGTATTATAATAATGTAAGAACATATTGTGATGGGATGTGAATATTGTTATAAATTACGAAATTAAGTGCAGCTGATTTACAAGAAATAGATTAATGAAGGGATTATAGGTGCTTTCTTTAACACAGTTTGATAAATTTTTACTATATTAGTACTGTAAATTTAGGGTTGGACGGGAGGCCCTTGAGTCTCAATTAAACTAATTTTTTTTACTATTTTTGTTTATTTTATGTCAAAGTATTTTTTTTTATTATTTTAGAAAAAATAATCCTATATTAATATCAAAATATTATTAATTTTTATCCCGTCTAATATCTATATGTTCATTTGTTTTTTGCACGGTATTTTAGGTATATTAGTATTATATTGTAATGTAATAGAAATAAAAATAAAAAGTCTAACCTAACTTTATTAGTATTATATGATATAAAGATAATGATATTTGTAACGTTAGATAAATACTAACCGTTACTAAAAATATATATATATAGTTTAACAAAATATATACAATATATGATAATAAAATTTTATATAATACAAATAAATAAAGTTTTAAAAATGTATATATTTATATAATATAAATTCATCGTCAAATTATACCATTATTAATTTTAAAATTTTAAACTTAATAAATATTTATATTATTATATTCATTACTTATCAAATCAATACAAATCCAAACTCTTCAAACCCAAACAGAAAAAAAAAAAAAAAAAAAACACATAAATTTAAACTTATTTTAAAATTCAAATGAAAACCAAAAATTCAAACTCAATTTTTCCCAAAGCACACCCGATATTTCATACCTCAGAAGCTTTCAAAGTGCTTGGTTATTGTCAGACGAAAAGAAAGCCTTCCATGACCACAATGCCTTTCCCTCTTATCAAAACCCTTTGATTCTTATCATCAACGTGAAGGTTCAGAACTCCACCTCTTTCAGATGCCTAATATCATACTCACACTCAATCAAAATCATGTATATATATATATATATATATTATGAAGTATTGAAATACTCCCTCCGTCCACAAACTAACGTCCTACTTTTCTATTTGGAATATCCAACTATTATTGTTCTCTTTCTATTTTTATAGACAAAATTTACTCTTTTATCCTTACTTTATTTATTTTCATTTTCTATACACAAGATTAAGAACAAATTTGTCATTTTATAACAAAAATCCTAATTACCTAAAAATGCATGAAAATATCAAATAGGATATTAGAAAATGGACGGAGAGAGTATATGTTATAACTGATATATAAATATTACTTGGTAGGCGACCAAATCAGATTTTCTAAGCTTCTTGCTCCAGTAGGGTGCTATGGCGCAATGAGCGCTTCCACATACTTGATCCTGCACATAAACAAACACAATTGGTTTCAAATATATTTTTTTATATAAATTATAACGAATGATGTAAATAATATAAAAAATAATATTTTATATTTAATATTAATTTCTTATGATATAATAGAGTAATATATTATATTTATTGGAAATTATGTAGAAAAATTTAACTATGACTTGGTAAGGTTATGGAATTTTGAAAATTATTGTAGGAGAAATTAAACAATGTATATATATATATTGAATATAATATATTATATAAAAATTGATTTTTTAATATAGTATACTCCCGTTGTCCAACTAATTAGTATATATTTATTTTTAACGTGAAATTTGGTATATAAGCAATGATGTGATGATAAAATAAAAATATTTATAGAAAAAAAATTTAATAAAATGATTACTTTATATTTGAAGAATCCAAAATATATATATTTTATGGCCGAAGAAAAGGTGTATAAAAAAACAAATATCATTGTTCATTTTAGCAAAAACTCATATATACTTTTTATCGAAATTTTGTAGCTTTTTATAGGACAAAAAAATATTAATAATTAATCACCATCTTAAAATTCATATAAAGAATTATTGGCATATTTTTACGTGAAGAAAGGATTTTTTATTTATTAAAAAACGTCTGATCAGGTGCTGAAAATATTTTTTCAACACTATAAAAATTCTTTTACATTAACTTATATACTTAAAATATAATTAAGATAATATATTTAACTAATCAGCACAAGTGCTGAGATTAAAATATAATTAAGATAATATAATTAACTAATCAGCACAATTGTTGAGATTAAACAATCAGTTTTATTAAAATAAAGTCAAATTTCACTAAAAAAAAATTTGCTAACATAAATAAATCGCATTCTAATTGACCAATGTAGCCCAAGTATCATGTTTCATAATGCTATACTTTATTCGTTATTAAAAGAGAGTAATAATTATTATTTTTTTTTATAATAAAAAAATACAAAAATATAATAATTTTTACTTAAAAAAAATAAGAATATTTTTTAAATGACAATAAAAAAAGAAAGTGAGCATAAATTTGAACGAGGTAAGGAGTATTATTTTAGTTTTAAAAGTATTTTCATATGTTATTTTAAAAGTTTTTTATTATAATCATTTTTTTCATAAAAAATATAAATTAATAAATTATTTTTTTATCACAAAATATCTTATTGAATATCTATTTTTCTTTCAAGATACTTTTAAAATTTTAAAAATCTTTATATAAGTGGAACCGAAATTGAATTAATACTTTTGTAAAAATATATACATATATATTTCCTTCATCTTCATTAATATATATACTTTTGTTTTTCAATGAGAAAAAATCAATTATGATTCCAATATAATCAAAATATATCAATTTTTGTTCAAATATAAAAAAATCATCAATTTTAGTCTAATTATAAATAATTTCAATCAATTCTGACCCCACCGTTAAAAAACTAATGAAAATTGCTAACGTTGGTGTAATGGGGTTGACGTGCCAATTGACTTGGAAACAATAAGGCTATGTACAATTATACACGGTCATATTGTCAAAATGCCGTGTATAATTCAGTGTACAATTATATACGGTCATATTTAATTCTACACGGCCGTATATAATTCAGTGTACCTTTCTATTTTGATCTACAATTTTATTATTTTGTTGTAATTTTTTCTAAAAATATTAAATTTAAAATAATTGATATAGTTAAAATAGAAAAAGTCAATAATAATCCTAATACAATTAAAATATATCAATATTAGTTTAATACAACAATTTATCGTGTATGTTCTTTTTTAAGATTTTAAAAATATATTAATCTTACTATTCACCAAAAGAGCATACCTGATAAATTTTTATATTAATTATACTATTAATATAATTTTCCAAAAGAACATATCTAATAAATTTTTATATTAATTCTACTATTAATAAAATCTTCAAAAAGAACATAGTTATAATTTGTTATATTTCACATAAGATTAATACATTTTAATTAGTATATTATGACTACTATTGATTTTATTTCTCATTTTAACTATATCAATTTTTTTAAAAATTATATAACAAAAAAAATAAAATTTTAGACCAAAATATAAAGATATACATGTAGAATTAAAGATGACCGTGATTGAAATGATTTATAATAATACTAATATTAATCTTTTTTATTTTTTAATAAATTAAAAATAATATTTTATTAATTAATAAAAATACATAGAATATTTTGATATTTTTTTAATTTATATATTAATAAAATTAATGAAATATTTTTAATTTATATAAAAATAAAAATATTAATATTAACAAAAATATATATTGAGGCCTGGGGTCAGGCTAAAGAAATATCTGCCTGCTATCCACTGTCCACTGCCTAGTCTTCTTATATACTCTCTTCGTCTCAAAAAAAAATATCCATTTGCTTTTTGCACATAGTTTTAAAAATATTAGTATTATATTGAAATATAGTAGGAATAAAATAGAAATAATTAAAATAACCTTGTTAGTACGTATGATATAAAGGTAATGATATTTGTAATATATTGTAAATTGTAAGAGTATTTGTAATGTTAGATAGATAATAAAGTTACTTAAAAAAAAATGGATACGTTACCAAAATAAAATGAAAAAATAGATACGTCACCAAAATAAAATGAAAAAAAATAGATACTGAGAGAGTATTTATGTTATATGTAGAATTTATTTGATAAATGTAAATATAAAATATAGATCTAAAATATTTTATAAAAATATCAAAATAGCGTTCAAAATTTTAATGAGAAATTTAAATATGTGTGTAAAGCATTGAAGAAGTAATGTACCTCATTAACACCCTCGTTTGGACAGAAAAAGCGACTGATGATATCAAATCCTGAGCCAGCCGGAGCAATTCCGGTGACGATCATTCCTCTGTATCTCTCTGAAAATTTTCGTATCTCATCAAAATTGGGGACGACTTCTGCTACCTCCTCACCAGATGGCACCACACACTGCACATCGCCCAATCAAAATTCAACCAAATCAAAGTGCAAAATAGATGAGATATATATATACATATATAGGTAGATTGATACACACAAAGATGTCTCTAGAGGAAACGAGGATCTCCATTGCGGAAGCGCCGTTCAAGCTTTTGGAAACAGATGAAACCTCAATAGCATCGTCATTGTGTAATCCTTTCAGAGAGAAAGCTGGAAAATCCAGTTCAATGTCGAAATCGCCATGTGATGAGCGCTTCGATAGATCTGGTGATGATTCTGCAGCAGCAATCCTTTTTGCTGTTAAAGTTCCATAGCTCGGTGACGAGAACTCAACCACTTCGGATTTCATCAATTTGCTTTCGAAGATGAAGAGAGATGCAGCTAATGTTGCGTGTCCACAAATCGATACCTATAAATTGGCCAACATTTAACAAATCTATAGGTAAAAATCGTTTTCGCTGTAAAATCATTTCTGCTTGCAGACGGTTATGAAGTTTGCTTTGAAAAGTATTCAGCCAAGCAGAGCCTAAAAACAGTTCATGCAAAAACCAGAGAGAATAGAGAATGAAGAGGCGCGTCGACCTCGGCTAACCGCGTGAACCAGCGAATGAAGAATCTAGGAACCGAGGCGGCGGAGGAGCCAGCCGAATCGGAAAACCGCATCAGAAAGCAAGTTACCGGTTGGTTTAACTCACGCGCCACCGCCTGCAGCCATTCATCTCCCCTATCCTCCTCAAGTAGACATACCGCCGCTGGATTCCCTCCGAACGCCGAATCGGTAAATGCATCGACCTACATTTGATTAGATAACGTTATTAATTCACAAAATAGTTGTAATCTAACATGCTCAGTGATCAATGGAGAAGGAATTTCACTTTACCACGCAGTACTTGACAGGTTTCACCACCGCCATTGATAAATCTGCAGAGAGAAATAATGCATGAAACGAAAAGACGACGGTACACTGGAGTAACTGTCTGTATATAAAAAATAATTTTTAATATTAAATATTATCAAAAGTAATTTAAATATAGATATATATATAAACAAATACTCCCTCAGTTATATCTATTTATTTTTTACACAAAATTTTAGAAATATTAGTATTATATTGAAATAAATAAAAATAAAGGTAAAAAGACTAAATTAACCATGTTAGTATTGTATCATATAAATGTAATGATATTTGTGTAATATATTGTAAATTGAAATGATATTTGTAATGTTAGATAGACAGTACAATTACGTAAAAAAAAATAAAAAAATTGATACTTTGTTACAAGACATACCAAAATGAAAAAATAGATAAATTGTTAAGGAATGGAGTATTACGGCTCATTTTAGCAAAAACTCTTATCTAATTTTTATTTAAATTTTGTAGCGTTCTATATGACAAAAGATATTAATAATTAATCATGTAAAATTCATTAAAAAAAATAATAAATGTGTTTGTTTTGTGAGAATATTGAAAAAGTAATATTTTAATATGAGCTATAGAGGATCGTATAGAGAATATAAAAATAAGTGAATATGTGTAATCTATTAATATTTTAAACAAAAATATGAAAAGAAAAGTAAAAAAAAAAAAAAGAAAAAAAAAAGCATATTTTTACATGAAAAGGGGTTTTTTTTATTAAAATAAAGTCAAATATTACCTTAAAAAAATTTGCTAGCATAAATAAATTTTACTTCAATTGACCAATGTAGCCCAAGTAAAAATTTGTTTCTTTCTGAGACAAGATTTATATTATTTGAATTCTTTATTTTTCGATCACAAAATTATCTCATTGAACATTATTTTAATATCAAATTCAAATTAAATTTTTCTCAAATTCATCAAAAAAAATATATAAAGTTATTCTTTTGAGTTTTAAAAGTATTTGCATATATTATTTTAAAAAAATTGATAATATTCATTAATAATATTTTTTCATAAAAAATACATTATTATTATTATTATTATTATTATTATTATTATTATTATTATTGTTTTCACAAGACATCATAGGTATTAATTATTAAATATCTATTTGTTAAAAAAAATTAAAATTATAAAAATCTTTATCCAAGTGGATCCAAAATAGATATAATACATTTTATTCTAAAAAAATATACATATATATTTCCTTCATCTTAATTAATGTAATATATACTCTCTTGTTTTTCAATAAATAAAAAATAAATGCTACGCATATAAAGTGGTCTATATTTTTTATGCGCAGCAAATATTTAATAAGGTTTTTATTATTAATTTCAATTCAATATATACTATGTATAGAGGGATAGCTTCTAGGGCCGAGCATTCGGATTTAGCCAAATTTGAACCGATTCCAAAATTTAAAATTTTTGAAAAAATCAAAAAATTCAAACTAAAATTTCAATCCAAACCGAATAATCCAAAAATTTTAAATATTTTTTTAATTTATAAATTTCTTTTATATTTTATTATTATTTTATAATATTAAATATATATATAATATATAAAAGTAAATATATTAAAATATAATTAATAGTTTTGAGTTTTTTATATTAAAATATAATATTTTCTAATAAAATATTAAATATATAATAATAAAAGATACTAAAATGTTATATTTTGGATTTTGGATTGGTTCGGTTTTTAAGTATACCGATCCGATCCGAAAATTCGAAATTTGTCAAAAATTCAATCCGCACCGATCCGAAAAATCCGAACCAAATTTTAAATTTTGATTTGGTTTGGATCAGACTTTCGAATTTCGGATATTTTGCTCACCCCTAATACCTTGCCCACAATAGCTATGTTTCTTTTGATACGTAAAAAAAATTTGGTTTGAATTTAATATTAAAATAATGTATTATGAATTGTTTGATGAGAATAAAAAATTATATTTTTTAAAAAATATATAAAATCTAAATAATAAAAACTCGAAATTTATGTCAAAAGTAGAAAACTTTAAAAACTGAACACATCCAAAACTTAAAATAAATATAATCAAATTTCGACATTTTAGAGTTTGATCATTAATTGTTCCGAGAATGCTGGTATTATTACAAGGATTCATAACCAATGCTCGAATGAGCTCGAAAGAGCCGTTGGGTAAGAAATCGTTGTTTTTATTTTATGTCAACATATACAAGCAGGGGCGGATCCACGTTAGGTAGAATGATTGTACATACCAGCAGTGATTTTATTATATATATAAAAAAAAAAAGAATTTATAATTTAATAAATGTGATATTACTAAAAAATTTTAGTGTCTCCACTTAAAATTTAAAATTGCATTATTATTCAAAAAAAAAAATTTAGGTGAATTATTTAAAATTTAAAATATTATCAATACCCAAATAATTAAAATACAATCCAATTAAAATAATTAATTTATATTTTAAAATATAAATATACAAAATAATATTATATTATTATTATTTATTAATAAATTTAGTATTATAATTTATTTTAATTTTAAATTTATATATTGTACAATCAGTAAAAATATTTTCTGAATCCGCCACTGTATAAGAAGATAGTTCTACATACGACTAGGGGCAGTTGATCACCTCCTACTCCTAAAATATAGGTTTCTTTTAGTATAGAAAACAATGAATTATTTTTTATTGTTTTGTGTTAAAGATAAATTGTGTGACATGTGTTATGAGAATATTATTATGTATTATTGTCTATATTTTTTGTCAATGTATGCAAGAACGGTTCTACATAGTAACTAGGGGCAATTGATCATCCCTCTATTTTCAATTTTTTATTTTATATTGTAAAAAATAATTAAATTTTTGTAGTTTTATTGATTTATATTTTTAAATTTTTTTTTTTTTTCTTAGTAAAAAATATTGAATTTTATTAAATTTTTCTCTACACATTTAATTTTTACTTATTTTTTTCATCTCTTTTGCTTACCTGGTTGCACCGGAAGAAATCGAAAAAGATAATATTACATAAATAAAAAATAAGTGAATTGACATTTTGTCCCCCTCCCTCTCGGTAATTCTACAGCTGGTTCTGTCACTGAACACATATATTGTGCTGAGATTAATCATTACATATGTTATATAAACTATTAATATGCATTGTCGGTATTTATATTATATTAATATATTATGTGTTGAGATAAATAATAACCAGCAAAGAAGTGGTTATTATTACGCTGTCTAATCATCTCATACGTATCAAAGAAGTGGTTATTTTATTAAGGCAGAGTCTTATTTATTGATCTTTAAATATTAATTATTATATCAAAACGTAATACAAATTAAGAAAAAATTGTAAAAATACTTCAATCAGTGAAATACTAATAGAATGAAACTTGCACAAAAAATTATACAAAATATAAGGATATTTTGAATATTAAATACAATGACGCAAAATGTAAATGTAATTTTTTTAGGTGGACGGATGTAGTAATATGTAAGTATTATTTGAATAGATTATATAAGTATTAGATAAAAATAATTTAATAGTTATTTCAATGATTTGTTAATTTTTTTTAGATGCCATTTATATAATAAAGATAATATTAAATTAGTTATTAATAAAAAATAAAATATTTTTTTTTTAATAATCGGTAAATTATTTATTTATTTCACTGATGAAATTTAATTTATAAATTAAATTCAAAAATTTTAAAACTAATATTCGGTGAGTTAAAATGTTGGATTATATAATAATTGGTAATGCGGTTTAGAAATATAAATATCAATAAACTACTGACACGCGACGATTGCCCCGACCAAATATTATGGTCGTAGGTGCTAGACTTGACAAAGTTTATTGTACCCCATAGTTTAATCAAAGTAACAAATTTTTTTTTTTTTCAAACTCAAAACCCAAAAAATAAAATTATTTGAACCAAGGTATAAACCAAAAAATGCATTTGTATGTATGCATGATTGAATAATTTATGTGCATGAATTAATGCAAGAATATATATTATTTTTTCTATCTCAATTCAAAGTATCATATTTACTATTTTCGTCTGTCTCATTTCAAAGTATTTATTTTCGATTTTAGAAAAAATAATCATACGCTGATACCAAAATATCTTCAATTTTTACTTAAATTACAAATATATCGTTACATATACAATTATTTTATACATAAGTAAAATGTAAAAAATGTGCCAAATTTTTTTACACACTTTCACTATCTAATAAAATACTACTGTATTATTTTTTAATCTACTACAAAATTTCAAAAGGCCCATTTGATTTGAGATTGATGGAGTATTATATATGTATGCAAGGATATATTATACAAACGAATGTGATTGCATTGTAACCTTGATCAATTCAAAAATATCGATTGAATGTCCCGTAAGGCATTACTTAGTGGCTAGTGATATGGGGATGAACTTGTAATATAGAGATGCCTCTAGGCAGACCGAGGTGGGGGGCAAGGGTGGCTGCAGCCGCCTCCCCCCCCCCCCCCCCCCCCTATACAATAAAACAAATACAAAAATAAGTATTTATAATATATAACTAGAATTATTGTTGTAGTTAGTTATTTGTATTTATCTCGTTCAAAATATAATAATCATAATAATAATTTTTTCTAACAACAAATAAATATTTATAAATAGAATATATTTATTTCATAAATTTCAAAATTAGCCCCCCTCAAATATAATCCCAGTTCCCCTATTGCTTCCAGGTCTTGTATGCTACACATGGTTTGTCAGACTTGTATTGTTAAGCCTAATTTGCAGGCTACTAGATTCGGCTAGAGGTTTACCCAAAGCACACCTGAAGAGTAACGACTGTGGATTCCTACATCATGAAAAGTATATATATCGATTGAATTCCATGACGGTTTTGTCGTTTTTTTTTTTTTTTTTAATTTGAATCAACACAATAAATTATCGGTTTCCGATGGAATGATATTTTCCCTCGTGAACTTGTCTATGTAATTCGAAGACGAACGTCGTTTTATCTTTGAAAATATTGCGCCGCAAATTGAAGGTACTACCGGATGTATTTGTTTTTACAGAAAGAAGTTCTACCTCGCTCAACGTGATTATCGAATTTATTTCGATAAATTACTGTGATTATCGAATTTGTTTCAATAATTATATTCTTGCAATATACTCCCTCCGTCCAGCCAGAAAGTATACATATTTTTATTTTGAACTGTCACTATTTCATTAAATACCCTTGTTTCCACGAATACCTCTACTTTACATCCCTTTATTATTTTTCTACTAAAAAACAAGGACAAAATGTCTTTACACTAATTTTAACGGCTTACTGCAATTAAAATACTATTACTTCTTATACTCAACACTAAAATTAAATATTTACTTTGTAGTCGGACGGAGGTAGTAATATTTTTATTATATGTCTAATACT